CATCTGTAACTTCACTCTCAGGGGATCTGACATGGCCTTCTGACCTCCCTGGGTACCAGGCACATAGCAGGCAAAACACCACACATACACATCAAATAAATAATAATTCAAAACCTCAATGAAATATCAACCTTTATTATTATCATTACTTATTCCAGGACTTTCAGGAGATTCTCATTTTTGAGCAGAAAGGATTGATGGTTTCTTTTTTATTTATTCTTATTATTTTATTTATTTTATTTATTATCAATTAGTATATCTAATTTAGACCTGAAACAGTTAAGGTTATATCTTTAAAAAAAATCCTCACTATATATTTTTCCACTTTCTTGACAAATTAGAAGAATGAAGTTCTCATATTAATTCTTTCTGTGTCGTGAGTGATGAAAACAGTTGATATATGGTGTTTATTTTTCATGTGTTCAATGTTGAAAATATTTGAATTAGCCAAGCACATCTTTAATCCCAGCACTCAGAAGGCAAACACAGGTAGATCTCTGTGGTTCAAGATCATCTAGGTCTACACAGTGAGTTCTAGGACAGCCAAGGGATAGTCCCTCAAAACAACAAAATTGTATTAAAATTTCACTAAAATGTTAATTCCTTCCATGTAAATCTAAAACTTAATATCTAATGCACTATCTAATTTTGGAGAGATAAGTTTGAAAGAAACATAGATGCTTGGGTTCATCTCTGGCCTTTGAAATGGTTATTTTTGCCAATAACATTTGGTCAGAATGGAATGGCTTTTTCTGGGTGAGACTCTGAGTCCAAGGATCAAAGAATGCACAGCAGAAAAATCAAGCCACCTGTTCCATTGGGGGCTTTAGTTAGTGACAGTCACAGGTGAGTAAACCTTTGGGAGAGGATTATTTGAAATGATTTAAAAATTTCATATTTAGAAAGAGAAATGCATTTGCGAAAAATTCACCCAAAGCTAGGAACACTGACAAACTTGGGCCAGTCCCTGATACAACAGTTCAGCAGCCTCGAGAATTTGACTGAGCTGCCTTGGGAACATGGGACCACACTGCATTTCAAGTAGTAGTTCAGCATTCTGTAGCATCTCCAAGCTAGAACTCTATTTATGTGACAAAGTTAACTAGTGCTCTGTGTGTGTGTGTGTGTGTGTGTGTGTGTGTGTGTGTGTGTTGGAATGCAGGTATATGTGCATGTGCACCACATATGTTTCTGGTGTTTGCAGAAGCCAGAAGAGGGTTCCATACTCTCTAGAATTGGAGTTAGGGTCGGTTGTGACCTGCCATGTGGGAGTAGGGAACCAAATTTAAGTCCTCTTCAAGGGGGCAGCCAGTGCTCTTAACAGCTGAGCCGTTTCTTGAGATCCTGGTAAATGTTTTTTTTTAATTAATAAAAATAATCTCAAAGGCTTCCAAACTTAGCTGAAGAGCTGTGGAGATCTCAAATAAAGAGCTTTCTGTGCAAACATGGGGAGTTAGGTTGGGATCCTAAGCACTACGGAATAGCCAGGTGATGTTATGCACACCTGTAACCATAGCACTGAGAGGCAGAGACAGGAGGGTCCCTGAGATAACCCTGAGAGGTGGAGACAGCAGGGTCTCTGGGTTAGCACTGAGAGATGGAAACAGGTGGGTCCCTGGGTTATACCTGGGGAGATGGAGACAGTAGGGTCCTTGGGTTTGCTTGCCAGCCAAGGTAGGTGAATGAATAAGTTCTAGGTCTAGTGAGAAGGTCTGACTTGAAAACTAAGGTGGAGCATGACTGGGCACACTTGACATTGACCTCAAGCCTCCATGTGGACATACACACTCATGCACTTGCCCATGTACACATGTGTTCACACACAGAAACATCAACATGCTCACACACAAAGTTGTCTGGTGAGTGAAAACTGTACATACATGACAAGAACCATGCACTATTTCAATAAATGGTGTAATATTCACATCAGGGCAATCATCTCCATTTTCTCATAGACTGATCATTTCTCTTTACTGGTTATCTTTTTTTTAAAGCTTTTTTTAGTAATACACAATTGGTTATCATTATCTGGTCACTGCACTTTGCAAAATAACACTGGAATTTATTTCTCCTGTGTGACTGAAAATGAAGCTTAGCCAAATTTACTCTAAGCTTCTCTCACTTTCATTCCTCCTGGCTTCTTAGGATAGGCATTCTGCTCTCAGTGTCTGGACAGCTATTTTGTTTATCCATTTATTTATTTATTTATTTATTTATTTATTTATTTATTTATCCATTCAGCTATTTATTTGTTCACTTATTTTTTGTTTTACATCCCAACTGCAGTTTTCCCTTCCTCCTTTCCTCCTAGTCCTCCCCACCACCTCCCTTCACAGGGTTATTTTATATTACACACGAGTATCTGTTCACCTAACATACTATCTTTCAGCTCTACCCAATTTTTTTTGCCAATGACAGAATATCACTTCTTTTTAATGGCTGAACAGTTTTCTGTGGTGTATATGTACCACATTTTCTTCTTTCATTCATCAGTTTATGGACACTTGCATTGCCTCTCTTTCTTGGGGTACTGTGAACAATGTTGTAATAAACATGGCCATACGAATGTCTCTTCAACATATTGAGTTGGTTTTCTCTGGACATATGGCTGGGAATGAAATTGCTGGGTGAAATAGTAGTTCTATATTTTTAATTTAAAAAGAAAAATTTTTTAAGAATTATTTATATTATGCATATGGATGATTTGTGTGCATGTATGTCCGTACATCATATATATGTCTGGTACCATGGAGGTCAAAAAAGGCATTGGGTCTCCTAAAACTGGAGTTACAGGCAACTATGAGCCACAATGGAGGTCTCTGAGCCAAACCCTGGTCCTCTGTGAGAGCAGCAAGTGTTCTCAGATGCTGAGTCATCTCTCCAGCTCTTCAACTTTTTAAAAAGGAAACTATCTACTATTATTATAGCGAGTGTAGACTTACCACCAGGCAAAGGCATCCTATCATTGAGTTTCTCCATATTCTCATCAATGTTTCTTGTCTTTTGTCTGTTTTATACTTGTCATTCTAACTGGAGTGAGATGGCTTCTCATGGATTTGATTTGCGTTTGTCCCATTTTAGTGATGCTGAACATTTTTTTTTTTGGTATCAAATGTTTTACATATGTACACAGCCAACATAAGATCAAAATATACTTTATTCTGGACCTCTTTCAGATCTGATTCAAATTACCGTTGTCAAAGCAATGCAATGCAAAGGGGGAAACTGCAACAACACACACATAAAAAATGTGCCTGGAAAGGGTCAAAAGGTCATTGGGGACAAATCACCATGATGTGGAACCAAAATACATAGCAAGTGTCATTGACATGGTCCAGGAGAGACAGACATCTGTATCAGTCTTCCTTACACAGTCATCATGAAAACTGAACAATAAAATTCTTTAACGTGTACAAAAACTGTCATGGGCTGGTTTACACTTTACAACAGCTTTAAGGTTACTGGGGAACTAAAGAAAGGATGCAGACATCATCACCCAGTGCTAAGGTATGCTCACAGAATTAGACCCAAAGGATTTCCAAACCCAAATGAAAACATTCTACATAGTGACAATGTCAAAGTCGGGAGACAAAACCATTTCTGTATTTAAGGATGGCAGAGATACACAATGAAGTGTGTAATGAGATGAAAAAGTACACCAGACACAACATGCAGAATGTTTCCTCCAACTTATCCAGAAATTCCAAAGAAAACATGTAACTGCTTGCTAGGTGTTAAAAAAAAAAAAGCCTAATTATTCACCCGGCTCCAACATGGTCACAGAAGAGCAAAAATAAAGAATGCTATGGACACCTCAGAACTGCTAGAGAAGACATCAGATTCTAAATGAGTGGATTAAAAATGTGAGCACTCCCTTTTTCCCCCTCTTCTACATTCAACTAGAGTCATGTGTTAAACAACTGGTATTAAATGTGACAGACACTTCAGAGCTATTACCGGAAGGAGTAGTTCACATGGTCCCTCTTGCTGACTTCAAACAAAAGGAGGGAATCAAAAACAAACAGAAAACCACCCCCTGGGTCTCTGTAGGCTGGCTGCTAGCCCCCAAATGCTGGCTTTTGCTGGTGTGCCATGATGTTGGTCCACGGAGGCAGGATTTCTGCAGCAACTGTGCCAGTACCACTCTTAACTCGTGGGAATCCAGCTTTTGTGGAAATGATGCTGAACATTTGGCATACTTATTTCTTTTAACCATTATGTCTTTGTTTGAGAAGTATCTCCTTTGGTTGGCTGGCCATTTCTGATTGCATTATTGCTGCTTGAGTTAATTTTTGTGTGTTGATGATTGTTAAATCAGTGTTTCTCTTGGGATTCGGTCATTGGTAGGTCTTACTCCATCATGGTGCTCTACTCCTTCACTACTAAAATTACTGTCAATTTGCTATTAAAGAGTGTCTACAACAGATGCAGTATTTGATATTAAGCTATATTTCATGAGTAACTAACTAATTATTATAATTTTGTTATTTTTATAGCATTTATTGTACACACAGACACATGAACACTTATACACGTATACATACACACATATACACACGTACAAACATGCACAAAAACACATATACACACATATATATATACATACATACAGATACACACATACACAGATACATACATATATGACACACATATACATAAACACACACACATACAATACTAGTGTGTCAGAAACAACTACTATTGGCTCATAAAATCACATTGTTATATTTTCAGGAGTTTGTGTATCTCTAAATATCAGACAAGTGACTTGAAATTTGTTACACTGACATTATTTATCAAATGAATATCATCAATGCCACAAATCAGTGCTGTTCTCTTTTGCCATTTGGAGTGAGAGTTATTAAACACTAGTTTGCATGAGCCTTCCGTATTTATTTTAATAAAATAAAGGGCTATTATCTTTGAAGATGGTGTTTGTACTGAAGTTGACGGGAGAAAAGGGTAATTGAATTTGTTCTTTTATCCTTCTGCATTTTCAGGGATACGAAAAGACCGGAGAGGAGGGAGGATGCTGAAACACAAGCGCCAGAGAGATGACTTGGAAGGCAGAAACGAAATGGGGCCTTCAGGAGACATGAGGGCCGCCAACCTTTGGCCAAGTCCTCTTGTGATTAAGCACACTAAGAAGAACAGCCCTGCCTTGTCCTTGACAGCTGACCAAATGGTCAGTGCCTTGTTGGATGCTGAACCGCCCTTAATCTATTCTGAATATGATCCTTCTAGACCTTTCAGTGAAGCTTCGATGATGGGATTATTGACCAACCTGGCAGACAGGGAGTTGGTTCATATGATCAACTGGGCAAAGAGAGTGCCAGGTAAGAACGCAAAACTCAACGTCTGTTTTAAGAGTGAATGACTCAAGAACTGGCTGTGATACTGTGTGGGGAGGGGAGAAAATAACAGCGTGCGATGTGGTTGGTGTCAGTGCTACATCGGGGCTTGCCAATTGTCAGTGTTAACCCACTGTATTTCTCTTGAAACTTGAGAGTAGCCTTTAAAATCAACACCAAGAACAATAAAGCCTTCGACATAGTATTTCTGGCCAGTTTTCTCTGCTCAGAAGAGTTGGATAGATACTACATACTGCATGCACACATGTGTCTGTCATGCAGAAATCACATTTTAAAAGTGCTTAATGCTCAGTGATCTATGGAATTGTTTTGATTTCTAAGACTATCATTGGAAATGCCTCTATTGAGGAGAATTTTTCCCATAAATAATCTATTCTTCAGATGTTGTGCACTAAAGGGCTAATAATAGGCTTATTTGTGGAATGCCAATTATTTATTCATTTTGCTTTATGCATCCTATGTTCAGAGAAAAGGAAATACAATAGGAAAATAAACACAAGCAATGCCCTGAGGAGCTGCTAGAAAGATCCAGAGGCTGAAGTGACACTCTGTTCATCCTATTGGTCTCTCAAGTGCTGTTTCTAAAGCTCTTGACTGGTCTCCTTTATGGAGAAGGACTCTAGTTATGATGGGAACAAGCCTCTCCCATGCCCCAACTAATGGATTTCGTATACAGAAGCCTAGGCTGAGGCAAAAAGAGGTGGACTCTCTTGTATGGCTTATAGATCAAATCAATGTGAGATTTAAATTGAGCTTTTTTTCTCCCTGGGCTTCAATAGATGAAGTTATTTTTTTGTGACACGTGAGATTTTTTTTTCTTTTTTATAATACTAAAATATATATGGAGTTTTGGGCTTCCATTTCCAGAGTTGTTGACATAGGCTGAGTTAACATGAATCTGAGAATCCTACATGTATTTGTGTAAATCCATGTAAAAACAAGTTGTGCTTTGAGTAAGGAGCTAGCTATGCAATGAGCCAACTTACTACAGGGCATCTATCTAAGTGGATTGGGTAGGAGAGATCAGAGTATATGAATGAATAAGATTGACAGAGAAAGTTTAAGTTTTGAGGAAAATACTAACAAGCAAGCAAATATCCTGGCCATCCAAGGAACTGAAGGTTTTATTGAATGCCTAGATATTCTATCATTGTTTTGTGAGATAGACACAAGCACTTCAGGATTGGAATTATGCATGTTTTTCCTTGAACTTTATGTCTGTTTTGTCTTATTTTCACACTTTGAGAGAAAAGAAAAATGAAATGCACAAAAAATTTAATGACCATACCCCCGAGAGCCCATCTTGGTTGCTGTTAAATTTTTATTAATCTATAAACATATCCCCTATGAGAGTGTAGCAATAGTAGTCCCAGATCCACACAGCAGTGCTGAAAACAAGTATATATTATTCATTTTTATCTGTAGAGTCCCCTCTCAACATGTGGTATTTTATTAGCGGTGGTGTTTTAAGTCAGGGTCTTGCTGTGTAGCTCAGGCAGGCCTGCAACTTGCTTTCCTGTTCCAGCCTCAGGAAGTTCAAATGTAATACCCATTGATGAAAGATTTGTGAAAATAACCTTAATTTAGGATTAAAATAGAGACAAAAGTCAAGCTTAGGAAGATACTGTGGTCAGGTTTAACTGTTCCATTGTTAAACTCAGAACTAGACATGTGCATGGTAATAAAATACCTAGCAAGGCTACTCTCAAACTTCTTTGTGCTTAATTCAAGGGTCCAAAATATAGTCAAACTATATTTTGTTGACTGGCCTTTTATAAAAATGGACTTTAAAAGCAAATGCAGATATGTATAGTCATGTGCTATGTAACATTTTTTGCTTAGGATGATGGTAGGTCTGCATGTTGTACAGAATAGAAGGAGGGCAGGCTGTTTACTTTATAGAAAATAACAAATCCACCCAGGGATCTAGTTCTCTGATGTGCCCCTGTCATCAAGAGACTGACACAAGGCTGTGTGTGTGTGTGTGTGTGTGTGTGTGTGTGTGTGTGTGTGTGCGCGTGTGTGTGTGTATCTGTGTGCCACTGGAATGCAGTTACTATGAGTCAAATGCCTACTTATCCGAGGAAACAGAATGATAATGGTCATTGATTTAAAAAGAGTGAGAGAAAAAAAAGTATATCAAAGACCTTCAGGAGGAACTCTGAAGATGACTGCGAAAGTTTGCAAAGAAAGTTGTGTTTCACAATGGCTTTATATACCTAAATACTGTGTGTCATTTAAAAAGATAGTCTAAAGTAAAGATCTGGTATAGGTAATGTCACATTTATGAGGTGATAATTTGAGAATAATAATGGTAATTTCAAAAAGAGAATGAGAAACATCGTCAGGAAGAACAATAGCAAGGAAACCATTGTGTGGAATGAGAGGTGCGATATGAATTTGAAAGAGAAAAAGGAGGGGTATAGGGAGGGTTTGGAGGGAGGAAAGGGGGTGATGTAATAATCTCACAAAAAGAGAGAGACAATTAAGAAATATATATAAACAGAGGTAGAGGAAAAACATTTCAGTAAAAACAAAAACAAAAAACAAAAAACAGAAGTGAATGACTACCAGTGTAACAGTGTGAACAGACTTCATTTTGAATGATGGATTTTTAATAAATATAATTAATACTTTGGGTTATTTAATTTTTTATAATAGAATATTGTTAGAATTCTCAAGTTAATTCTCAGTTTTATTCTCAAGAATAAAAATTGAATCTTTCTTTGTTTTATCATCTGGCCATATCATCTGGCCATATTTTCTGACTTGGTATGTGGGAATTAAAAGGTGAGCATGTGTAAAATGAAATGTAAGCATGATCCTTAGTTCTAATCCACAAAAGACTTGTGTGAGCCCTAGGACAAGATGACTACAAGGAGTTAATGCTTCCTCTGACGTGTCTAAAGAGCAACTGTGGGAAGAATGATCACACCTACCTATCCAGTTCTGCACAAAGACTTTTAAAAAAGGGAATTTTAGTTTTGAAATTGAAATATGAATATATGATTTCTCCCACTCTTTCCTCCCTTCAACCCCTCATTGCCCTTCTTTTCTCTTTCAAATTCATAGCCTTTTCTTAATTGCTCTTAAATCTATTGTCTATATGTATAATCTACATACTATTTATCATCTTTGTATAATATCTATCATCTATATCTATCATCTATATCTGTCTATCATCTATATCTATCATGTATCAACTGTTTATTTATCAATCTATCATCTACCTACTCTATCTGTCTGTCTGTCTGTCTGTCTATCTATCTATCTATCTATATCTAAATATATAAAAACAATCAGCTCAGTCTGTATAATTGTACTTGTAGATATATAATTTCAGGGCTGACCACTTTGTATTGGGTAAATGATTAGGGAGCTATACCATGGGGAAGACTATTTCTTCCTTAATTGTTTAGTTCTTTGTCTAGGGTGGAGACCCTGTGAGTAAAATTTCCCTATTGTACATTACCAAGTCTGTTGGTATCTTTCTTATTTAGATCTTGTTTAGACAGCTATATTGTTGAGACTTCATGGGTGTGGCTTCTATATCATTTCTAAGAGACATAATCTCATAGCTGACTGGGTTGATCTGGCTCTTATAATCTTCCCATCCATATTTGTGCAATGTTCCATGAACCTTAGGTATAGGAGCTGTGTTGTGAGTGTATCAGTTGGGGCTGGGCACCACACACTCACTTGTTACTTGCATTTTGATTGGTTGAGATTTTTGGTAATAGTCTCCATCTGTTGCAAAGAGAAATCACTCTGATGAAGGGTCAGAGGACTACACTTATCTGTGACAGTAAAGACACATATTTAGAATGCAGTTGGGAATTATGCTGGTCTAGAAAAACAGTGGTAGTAGGATCTCCTCCATATATGACCTTGGCTAGGTTTTCAATACCAGGAAATATTTCACTCACATTGAGGGGGTCTTAAATGCAAGTAGAGAGTTATTGGCTACCACCAAGATATATACTATATAATATACTATAATATACTATATATAATATATATATGTATATATTATATATATATATATATATACAAGATATAAACCACCAAGATATATATACTATACCAATAAGGTGATCATGCCATGCTGGTCATTATTGTGGTTCATACGTGTCATAGCTCATTAAGACTATTGGTGGCCTCCCTCCTTTAGAAGCCTACATGGTGCTTCTGGTTCCATTAAAGCTTGTCTTCAGGGAGGAGGCTTTCAAGTCAGATACAGCTTGGATCCTTTGGGTTCCATGTCTGAAGCACATAGTATCTTCAGCAATAGGTTCTTACTTTTTATTTCTGAGAGGCACCCAAGAACAATGGCAATAGCCTATAATGTTTTGGGAGTCTCTTGGACTCTTCTGACCAGCAACTATAAGGGGAGTTTCTTATGCCTGGTATTGCAGTTTTTGGTAGATAGTCTATGAACATTGTCAGCCCATGTGGGAAATTTTCATTTAAAGTTTCTATGTATACACATAGACTTGTATGTATTTTATGTGACTTTTAGGTAAATAAGTAATATATTCCTTATAGATTTTTCAGACATCCTTACTGTTGTTTTACTCTCTTCCATCGTCTCTCTCCTTCAGTATCTACCTCGAACCCCCACCCCTCATATCTTCCATCGTCTCTCTCCTTCAGTATCTACCTCGAACCCCCACCCCTCAGTTAAAGCCCCTCCTACTCTTACATCCCCTTTCAAATCACTTGTGTCCTTTATCTCTCTCTCTCTAGCACTCATCTTGATGCTATGGTCCAGCTTTGTTGTCCTAGTTTCTACAGTTACTCTAGGTTATCTACTCGAACCTGAAGATCTGGAGCAAGAAGCCAGAGATGAGCAAGGACACGCAATGTTTGAGGACGACTTTTAAAACAACACAGGCTATTTCTTCTTCGTTTTTTTTTTTTTTTTTTTTGGAAATTTTTTATTTGAATTAGAAACAAGATTGTTT